CCCAGATGAATTTTAGATGAAATGCAGTTCTGAATAAATGCTAATGGATAATTTTGTGGAAATTGACAAGCCGACTTTGAAATTTGTATGGAAATGTTAAGCCCCTAGAATAGCTTGAACAAGTATTGAAAAGAATAACTAAGTTGAGGATCTTTTAATATTTAAAAAAATATATTAATTTTTTAATATTTATTTTTTAGTTGTAGTTGGATACAATACCTTTATTTTATTTATTTATTTTTTATGTGGTGCTGAAGATTGAACCCAGGGCCTTGCACATGCTAGGCGAGTTCTACCATGAGCCAAAACCCCAGCCCCTAAATTGAGGATCTTAAACCACCTATTTTGAAGACCTAGTTCAGAATTTTTTGACAAAATATGCTCAGGTCTTTCAGTGGTACAATTAGGTCTAGCATGATCTGTAAAAAGACCCTATTAGAAACAGCAAAACAAAAACTGATCTTTAACCCTAACTCATGCCATGTCCCCAAATTAACTTAAAATAAAATGGACAATAATACACCTATATGCAGAAGCTGAAGGTATAAAACTTTTTCAAAATGTTTAAGTCTTTTGGTAGAATGATTTACAACCTGGGCAAACTTAAGACACCAAAAGCACATGGCATTCAAGAAAAAAATGATAAATTGGATTTCATCAAAATTAAAAGCTTGTACTCTTCAAGACCATTAATAATAGAAAAAGATAAGCCAGGGACTGGGAGAAAATGTGCACAGTATCAGTCCAAAAAAATGCATATCTAGGGGCTGGGGATGTGGCTCAAGCAGTAGCGCGCTCGCCTGGCATGCGTGCAGCCCGGGTTCGATCCTCAGCACCACATACTAACAAAGATGTGTTGTGTCCGCCGATAACTAAAAAATAAAAAATATTAAAGTTCTTTCTTTCAAAAAAAAAAAAAGAGCACTGTCGGGAAACTGCTCAAAAAAAATTAAAAAAAAATGCATATCTAGGACAGGCATAACTCTTACATCTTAATGAGGCAAACATCCCAATTTTTAAACTTTGAACATATATCTGTTTTTTAAAAAGATACCTAATTGGGCCTGGGGTGTAGCTCAGTATTAAGGTCACTTGCCTAACATCTGTGAGGCTCAGCACACCTTTCAGTCCCCAGCACTGCAAAAGAAAAGAAAGAAAGAAAAAAACACTTCCAGGTATCTAATTGAACAATAGATATCTTTTTAAATGAATGAAAAGCTATTCAACATTATTAGTCATTGGGGGAAATGAAAGCTACAGTGTATTTATAGGATAATGTATATTAGACAGGAGAAGTCCTGTTCACTTCTCTTGTAAGTCACTGTTTATTTAGCTGACTCTAATAAAAACAGTATTTGGAACTACTTGAAACTCTTGGTGACTCTGGAAATTATTCTTGTTAATCCCCTCACCACCACAGATTGAGGCTACAATGCTTGTTTGTACATCAACATGCAAGGTAGTCATTCCCAAATATGAGCTCCTGCTTATCAAGCAGGTTTTCAGCTCAATGCTGGAGGTAAGGAGTCAGGTTCTGTGGGCGGGGCCCTAATCTGCATTTCCACAAGCATTCTAGGTGTTTTAGATTCAGGTATACCACAAACCATTCTTTAAGAAATACTGGGCTGAAGAGTGCCTTTTGTATAGGTAGTAACTGATCCCAGGAAAACACTTTGGATTTCCTAGCTTACAAAAACACCTGATGCTCCTAGAAAGTCCTCTGTTTCTTTTGGGAGTTGTCTGCTTAACTTTGACCTGACAGTTCACCAAGCAGCGTGGACTATTTCCCACGGGATTTTATCTATCTCCCCAGTTGCTTCCTAGCTCAAAGTCAGAAAATAGTCTTCATTCATTTCCTTATCCCCAAATAGTATTTTAGCAAAAAAATTAAAAACAATATGAGATTTCAGAATAAATAATCACTGCAGAAAGCATAACAGCGTGCATTGTGCCCTTATAATGTCTTGTATCGGTGGAGGGTGTCCTTTCCATCTCTTCCCTGGTTTATTTTCAACGTTACTTGCAAACATTTGCTTTCTGTTACTCAAGCACTAAGCCATGTCATGCCTTATCTAAGCACAGCAGCGCCTTCCCCATCAGTTGTGGATACGTGACAGCTATGTTATTGCAGTTTGGGTTTTGTTAAACAAAATTATGCCTGTGTCAGCTTCTGTTGACCCACTTAAATATTAAACTGTTCTTTAGATTTGGATCTGCTATTGTTCTGAAATATGCATTTATTTATGAGGTTCATCTTTTATGCATTGTATCCTCTTTCTTACAGTCTGTGAGCATTCTGAAAATATCAGAGTAAAAATTGATGGGCACCACTTCTTTGGAGTATTTTATGGGAAAACTTAGCATAAAGCATAAAAAAGAAAAGCAAGATCTAAGAACCTGAAAGGAAGTAGAATTGTCCTTCCTTACAGATTATTTGTCTCCAGGGACAATCCAGGAGAGTACTCATTGTGGCAGTACATATAGCAAGAGTGGAGTAATGTTAAAGGAATCTAGACAGACTGTTAAAACAGACTGGCCAGTGTGACTGATGGTAAGGTCAGTACATGAACATCAGTAACTTCGTGCACACAGTAGTTGTGTATATCCACTTGCCTACTTGACAACACCGTCTAGATACGCCATCTCAAATTAAATGTCTGAAACATTTTAATACCTTTGAACTTCCTCCCGTCTACCTATCTGTTTCCCAGCCCCTTCTCCCATGTCACAACTTTGTTGCCAGTCAGAATTTTATTAAGTCATCATTGATTCTTTTTTTCTTCTCTCACAGTCAGAGTTCAGCCATTGGCATAATATGTTGTGTCTAACTTCCAAAGAGTTTCTGAAAACAGTTGCTTCTCACTTACCTTCCCTTGTGGGTCACCTGTAGACCAGGGACATACTCACCTCTTGTCTGAAACCCTACAGCAGCTCCCTGCTTCCTCTCCTGGGCTCCCACAATCTGTTCTTCACACAGTAGCCAGAATTAAGCTTTTCAGGTATCAGGGCATATCACTTATTTGCTCAAAACACTGTAGAGGCCATTAGTTACACGTGGATTAAAGCCATGCTCCTACAAGGAGGTCTGGTGTCAGTGCCTTGGCCTCATCCCCTGTCCCTCTTCCCCCTCTCCCCTTCTCCTTCCTTGTACTCGGTCCCTTCAGCCTCCTTGGTCTTCACCTTACAGGTGCATCTCCACTTCATCAGTCTCCACCATTTAGGTCTTGGCTTTTGGCTCTCTGAGAGAGGTGTTCTCAGTTCTAACCATAGCACCCACTGTGTTTATCTTTATTTTTTAATTAATTGCTTGTTTGTTTACAGTCCTGGGATTGAATCTAGGGCCTTGCACAAGCAAAGCAAGCACTGAGCTCCTTCCCCAGCTCCCTTTATTTTTAATTTTGAGACAGGGTCTCACAAAGTTGCAGAGGCTGGCCTCAAGTTTGCAATCCCCCTGACTCAGCCTCCTGACTTGCTGTGATTACAGGCATGCATCACTGTGCCTGGCTTGATTTATCTTTATATCCCATGGCATCTTCATGCTGAATAAATGGGGTATTCACTTTTTTACCCTGCCTGGCCACTTCAGACATTTCCATTCGTGACTTGCAGAATAGACTCGTGGTTTTGTGAGAAGAAAAAGATATTTCTTAATCTTGTTTGTACCTCTGGCATCTAACACAATTCAGGTTTATATGTGTGAATGAATAACTTAGACAATTACTATATGCAGCGCTTTATTTTTTCTTGATTCGGATTTCGTGTGATTTTGAGTTTAACACTACTAAAACAGATGAGCTGAACAACATCTTGTTTTGAAGAAGTCAAAAGAGTTGTTCTGTTGTGCACAAAGAAGGGCAGAAAGTAAGAGGGAATAGATTTTGTACCTACCACTGTGCATGGCAGCCCAGTTGCAAGGAACTGTGCTCTTTTGTCCCAGTGTCTTTCGTTTTGTGCGTTAGTAAAGTGTAGTCTTATATTTGATGTTTTCTTTCTTTTCTGTTCATATGTAGAAAGAGATGATCAGTCAGCACAGAGGAAAACTCCAAATTGGTAGGGCTGAAAGTACGGTTGGGCTGTTACTTCCAGCTCAATACTATCAGGACTATTTAATCTTAAATGTAAGATTGAATTAAAGCCAAACTTCCTACATATTGTGGATGTCCTTGTCTATTTCTGCTGCCTTTCCTGTGCGTCCTGAAGGGAATCGCTGTGCCATCTTGGAGATTTGCGCTCTTGTGAAATCTGGCTGTGGTGAAAATGAAGCCCTTGGGCCTCACAGAGGGCTTTTGCTCGGGCATCATTCCTTAGGATAAGAAGAGCCAATCCTGCCTTTCAAACGGACTGCATTTCGAACTTCAGGGTGCAGAAGCAGCTGGCTTTAGGTACGCAGGCACTCCCGGCCCCATCAGGGTTGGATCAGGGTGGTGTCTATGGCTGCTATGCAGAAATCTGGCTTACTGAGAAGGTGCAGTGCCAGGTGGGGTGGCTAGGAAAGATACTCATCTTAAGCCAGAACATCACAGATCAGTGTGTTCCAAACTCCCAAATGGGATAAATGTTTTAGTTCTTAGTTCATTTTTTTGTTGAGCCCTTTACCATTGTAGTCATAATGGGATCCTAATTTTTGTTTCCAGATGTCTGTCAAGCTTATGTAATTGTTTCAGTTACTAAGTATTCATCATATGTGTATCAAAAATCCAAATGAACATATTAAAGCATACTGTTACCAGTTATTTCAACCAAATAAATTTCACCAGTCTATCTGAGCATTTCCTATTTTCACAGTTAGATAGAAAAAGTATTTCCCTTTTTAAATTTTTTTAAAGATACAACGTCTATTGATTTCCTCTCATTAAAAAAAAAAATCAATACACTAGGCCCCACTTTCCTTAAGGATTCCCCACTTTTCTCAGTACAAAAGCCAAGCATTTTGACTACTGTTTAGGGAAATGCGTTTTTTGAAGAACTGCTTCTTAAACTCTTTTTCTTTTTAATTACAGTTTATCTCTGTACCGGGGTAATTGCAGGCCCATCAGATTTGAGCCACCAATGCTGGATTTCCATGAACAGTAAGTTTAACATTTTTGGACTCTATTTTCCTGTTAAACTATCATTTTATATGTATTTGTCTTGCCTTTGGCCTGTGTTATCTATGTAAGAAAATTATGTTCAAGTCACCAGGAAACAAATGTTGAATCTAGTTCAATACTAGGAAACAACTATTAGGAGTCTAATATAATAATACTGAGAACATTTGAAAAATACCCCCACATTGCACTCTTTGGTTCGGAGAATCTTATCTTCAGAAGCAGCATGAAACTTAATAGGTTAACTTTTCTGATCAGCACTTTATTTTCTTTCTTATTATTTAAAAGTTTTTTTTTTATGGGCAGAACAACAGTGATTTTACTACTGGAAGTCTAGGCTAAGGAAATAGTATTTGCTAGACGCATATGCTTTTTTTTTTTTTTAAGACACCGTACTGGGTTTGAACCCAGGTGTGCTTTACCACTGAGCTGTAGCCCCAGCCCTTACTTTTTACTTTGAGACAGTGTCTCACTAAGTTGCTGAGGCTAGCCTGAAACTTGGAATTCTCCTGTCTCAGCCTCCTTGGTCACTGGGATTACACACGTGCGCCAAAGTACAGCTTTTATACCTCACAACAGAGAAAGTATCACCAACCCAGAAAGGCTGACAAAAGCAGATGCTACATACAGACCCAGTCCAAGAACAAAACTGCTTCCTTACACTGTCCTTATTGCTCACCTTCTACCTCTGGGACTCAGGTTTCACACATTTCAGAAACTTACGGAGAAACAGGGTTTTACTCTATTGGGCTCCAACCCGATTAAGCAGATGGATGAGGAGAGCACCTGCGCCATCAATCATACCATCCTCAACTCCACCTCCTTCCTGGCCTCTGCCTCTAGGCCCTCACCCTGACCCCTCCTGCTCCAAATCAGTTCCTTTCCTTTATTTTCTGGACATGAAGCCACCCATCTTCCAGGTTGGCCTGTGAGCTTTTAAAGAGCATGCTGTAGAATTTCTTCTTCTGTCTCCAGAAACTGCCCCCCTGCCTGCCCCCAACGAGAATCCCAAAGGGCTTTGGAAGCCAGTGAGTGCCCCCATCCCAAGGTCTTAAGAGAGGGGTAGTAAGGGGTGAGAATCGAGGGATTGGGCAGCCCAGGTGAGCTCTTTTTGGGCAGGGCCAGTCACAGCGGTGCCACTTGGTAAGTTAGCAGAAATTTAAAAGGGACAAGAGGAAGCCATGTGTGTTTCGGCTCCACTAATTAGAATCCCTGATAGGGCCACAGTGAAGCTTGGATTTTGGTTCTTCATGTGTGCGTATGCATCTGGCAGTGTGTTTTACTGGTATGATCAGACTGTTCGGGCAATTTTAGACCTTTTTCCTTCATTAATATAAGTAATGCTGTGTACTATAAGCTTGTCCTAAATGAAAATGTATGTGCTGAATAGCAATCCTGTTGAGTTTAACTGTTCCCTCATTCTTGGACATTTAGTTGTTTCTTTTTTCTCTTCATGCCATTGCTATAGTGAATGTCTATGCATAAAGGCTTCAGTTTGTTTTTTAATTTTTGAGATTGGTGGGTAGGTAGGTAAATGTTAGACTATTTCCTTAGTCTAGATTTCCAGGAGTAAAATCCCTATTGTTAAAGTGTTGATGTACATTGTCAAATTGCTCTTTTCCTTACTTAGAAAGGTAGTTTTATTTATTTCACTGCCATTTACTCAGGTATCTATTGTTCGATACATCGATATCCTGACTCAACAGATGAAAATTACAACTGTCTTTAATGCTATCAAAGTTGTACTTAGCTGTTTTTACTATAATAAACATACTAAGTTTAAATAATTTATAATTTAAAACCTAGAATAATCAAAATATATCAGTTAAACTTTTTCGAATGATTAGCCACCAGAAGTAAAAGATATTTGATAGCAGATGTTTAATGGAGATTGTATTCCCACAGAGATCCCATGGGTTTGGGGGGCTGGAGTGCAGATAGAAGTTTGCATACTTAATTGTGCATTTCTAGATGTAATCAGTATTTGGAAGTAGTCATTATGTAAATAAAATTAACTAGTGTGAGGGTTTAAAGACCGTGTGTTCAGATAGATAGTAAGTCACTATTTGGTTCTGTATGAGAACCTGTGGTTGGAAACGACCTTCACGTGGAGACACAGGACCTTTAGGAAGCTATTGGGTCAGGCGGGCTCTGCCTTTGCTGCTCTCTACTGAGTGGGACATCTTTCCCTGCTTGATACCTGCCTTCTGCCATGTTAAAACACTGCAGGGAGGACTTCCCAGTCTCAGGAACTGCATGGAGGTAGGTTTCTGTTCTTTATAAATTACCCAGAATGTGGTATTTCATCAGAGCAGCCCCGAATGGACTAAGATAGACTCAGTGCTGAAACTACAAGGAATATAGAGTTCTTAATCCACTTACAGAAATACGTCACCGAATCTCCTTACAAATGCAACATATTTAATGAAACAAGGAATATATTGATGTATATCAGGAGAGTTCATTATTTTTCAAATCAAGACTGTTTTGTTTCCAGTGTGTTCTCCTATTCCAGAGTGAATCACATTAGAGACTGAGGAACTCATGCCAAGACTATGGCACTAAGCAGTATCTGTGGCACTTTGTCAAGAGATGTGGGAGAGGAGATCAGTGCATAGTATCAGGATTTTAGTCTAAAGTAGTGAGGGGGTTGTAGTGGGTGTAGCTCTTGCCTAGTTCTTGGTAGAGCATTTGCAAGTAGAAGTCCAACTTTGAAAAACTTGGTACAGGTAAGTATTCTCAAAATATTCTTTAAAAAGTTATATGCAACTGGTGTTTTTTTTTTTGTTTGGTTTTTTTTTTTACTTCAGTATTTGTTTTTTGAGAAAGTTTTGTAAATTTTATTTTGAGATAAATACCTGAACTAAAACTAGAAATTCCTGTTCCAAATTAACTGTCTCTCAATCCATCAAGCAATGCTCCACCACCAAAATAGGAGAAGTTGGGATAAGATCAAGCAAGATTCTGGATTGATGATCTTGACCGTTTTTGTGTCATGGATCTCTTTGGGATGGATGAAAGCTGTGGACCCTCTTGCTTCCTGTCTCCCAATACACACACACACACACACACACACACCACTTTGCATACAGGTTCAAGGGGTTTACAGACATTCCCCTCCAAGTCTACTAGTAGTGGGTTCTTTGGAGCTACTTAGGAATTCCTGTGCTGGGCCATGGTTGATAAATCACCACCACAGAACTTATAGGAGTTGCCTGCTAAGCAAGCAGTATACGCTCACTGTAGTAAGCTTTAAAAAATACTTATTTGTGGGGGCAGGGAGAGGGAAATAAAATGCTACTCATAATCCAAACACCTGGAAACCTTAAATTTGAGCTTGTTTTCTTTGGGGTGGGTACCAGGGATTGAATTTAGGCACTCAACCACAGAGCCACATCCCCAGCTCTATTTTGTATTTTATTTAGAGACAGGGTCTCACCAAGTTACTTAGGACCTTTCTTTTCCTGAGGCTGGGTTTGAGCACAACAGTCTTCCTGCCTGCCGCAGCCTCTTGAGCCGCTGGCGTGTGCCACTGTGCCCAGCTGAGGTTGCTTTTTGAGTCCTTTTCTGTGCATCACTACTCATTTATTAAGTTATAAAAATATAACCATATTTCCTGAACATAGTATTTTATAACCTGCTTCTTGACTTCCTATATTATGTATACTGATAAAAATTCCACTGACTTTTCTGTTACTTTTACAGTTTTAAAGAAAAATAATATAGGTATATTTGTTAAATTCATTCACTGGAATTGTTTAAGATGTTTCTTTCTTGTGATCAGTGCTGAATTTAATGGTTTAAATGCAACCATGCCTATTTCCTTAGCAGACTGCCCTGTTGAAGTTTTTAGTTACCTTTAGACTAGACAATAATTTATCATGAACAAGAGGCAACTGATCAGAATAAAAGAACCAGTCTCTGACTGGAAAGAGAATAAATGGGATTCCTTAGCGGGACTGGTCCTTGGTCATAGAGAAACAGAAATCTCCTGAGCTTAGAGAAAGTCTGGAAGGTTTGCTGAAGACACACGGAAAGAAGGACAAACCAGTACAGTACAAACCAGGGTCAGGGAGCACAGTGAAGAAATTTATCTGAAGCATAGGGAAGTAGCTGTTCCCTAAAGTAGCAGACTTTTCCTTGATTTCAAAATGGTGGAAACAAACAAAAAGAAAACTCTTGGCTGTGGTTTGAATGTTTGTGTGTCCCCTCTCCCCCATCTATGTGTTGGAACTGTACTTCCTATGTGACGATGGTAGGAAAGGGGGCTCTGTAGATGATTAAGTCCTGAGAGAGGGCAGGACTCTGAGGAATGGGTTAATGTCCTTGTGAAAGGTGCCCATAGAGCTGCCTTGCTCTTCCCACCATGTGAGTATAGCAGGAAGACCAGAGAGAGGGCCATTGCTAGACCCCAAACATGCTGGCCCTCGATCTCCGATTCACAGCCTCTCCAACTGTGAGAAACATATTTCTGTTGTTTATAAGCCACCCATTATATGGTGTTTTATTAATGCAGCTGAAAGAACTAAGACCTTGGGTGCAGAAAGGCTTTAAATAATGGGAGAACAGCCTGAGAACAGCTAAATGGGAAGTGTATTTTATCTCACAAAGGTAGAAGCAAATCTGTAGGAGCTAAGGGGTGGGCAAATGTGAACTTATGCATATAGTGGTTCAGTTAGAGAAGTAGAAACAGCCAGAGATTCTAAATGTGTTGGTCAGAGTGTGTGTGTGTGTGTGTGTGTGTGTGTGTATGTATGTGTATGGAGGGTCTATCATAAGGAGTTGGCTTAATATGGTTCTAGGAACTAGTCAAGTAAGTTGAGATTCTGCAGGGGCAGGCAGCCAGGAGGGAAAGATCAGGAGTCAGCTGGACCTCCCAGGGTAGGGGCTAAAGCTTACAGTCTGCAGGTGGGCCTTCAGGGAAGGCTCTGGGGAAGGGATACTGCTAGTCCAGCTGCTGTTTGGAGTCTCTCCACCCGCAC